TTAGATGGCATCAAATTTTTGGAATCAAAAATAATTTTTAGATAACCTGTTAGAACTACTTTCAACCAGCTTTGGATTCTGGTTTAACTTTAGGTTGATCAAAACTACTCGATTCAAAATGGATAAAATGGATTAACTCTTCAAACAGTTTAACAAGTTAAACCAAGCCTTCTTTATGTCTGGGTCGGTTTGGTTTTGAAAACACTGTCTGATACCATTTTATCACAAGGTTATTACTCTCTTCTCAAAAAGTTAACCTAATGGGATATGCAGTACACCCGCTTATATAGCCAAAACCATTTTTATATCCCTCTAATGTAGGACATAATAACTCTCTTAGCTAATCTGTGATGCCCTCATCATGAGTGGCCTACTGATTGGACAAAGTTAAGTCTAACTCTGATATTACTTTATCATGGGGCCATTATTCTTCCCCTAAAAGGTTAACCCAATGAAGTGTGTAATGCGCCCTCTTATATAGCCCAAACCAATCCTAAGTCCCTTTAATATAGGACATAAAATCAGGCTCATGAAGTGTTAAAAAACTAAATATGTATAAAGCTTAGAAGTTAGCTCCTGTTGATTGCCAACTAAAACCTTAATGTTCTTCTCAACATGATAGAAGTAAGTATCACTCTTCACACTCAACACCAGAATCCTATCCTTAAAGCTTAAAAAGCTTATAGAATATACTCCTCCCAAAAAGTATGTACCTGTAACCCCATAAACATGCGATGGACATCTTTAAAATTTCCTGATCATAGCAGACTTGAAAGTTTTGGGTTTACTTTTGACCCTTGTCCAGTATTGTTAAAGGCGCTCGCCTCAGCGCCTAAGGTGTAAAGGCGAGGCACTGAACAAGGTCATCACCTCTCAAGTGAAGAGAGGTAATGGGTTATGTCAGGCACTTGCCTGTAAGCGCCTTGTGCTCCTTGCATGTCCCAAAGGCATGCGACTGATAATGCTTTAAAGCAGTGAAGATGAGAAGATCAGAAAAGAAGACGACAAAAGAAGATTTCACAAGAGAAGACAACAAAGGAAGACAAAGGAGTGCAGGATGCTGACTGCGTATGAAAGAACCGAAGAGAAGAGTAGAAGATGGTTCCTATTTGGCTACTAGCGTCGACTAGGTATGGAAGAATCAGAGACTAGAACTCAAGAAGATAAGGTGCACTCCTTCAACTAGGTATTTTACAAGTATGCTAGCCATAAGTTCGTCATTGTGGTTGGTACCGATCACTAAATATCATCCATTAAAATATGACAAAAAAATATAGTAAGTGATTATAAAAGATTTAACAAATCTTGTCCTATCTGTGGTAATATACCGGATCTTTAAAAAGAAAAGAAACATATAATATATAAGAAATTAGGAATGATTTGAATTTTAAATAAAAGATAATGAGATATTATATATAGAAAAAGATTTTAATTAATTATAAGAAATTATCTTTGATTTAAATTTTAAATATGATTGAGAAAATTTTGCTATTTGAAGAAAATTTTTTAGGAAAGTTTAAGACTTTAAAATCCCTCCCAATGTATAGTTTTTAGGATATAAAAAGAAAACCTGTTATTGTTATTTGATATTGGCATCAGAGTGTCTCGAGGCTTAGAGTAAGTTTATGATTGAAGTAGATTTATATTTATCATTTTATCTATGGTTTGTTGTCTATAGTTTATATATTATGTATTTTATCTATAGTAGCGCCTTGCTTCACTCATGTGTGTGCCTTTTTAGCACCTTGTGCCTAAAGCGTTTTATAGGCTTTGTGCCTTAAGTGAGCCTTTCACCTTTAACAACACTGCCCTTGTCAAGACCGCACTAAATTCAACTTAGTAAAGGTCAAGAAAATAATTGAAGATGAAGATGAGAGTGGTGTACCCTACATATCTTATGAAATATTATCCGCAAAAACAAAATTATGAGAAACATTAAAAGGAGTGCATTTATAAATATGAGGTAATAGAGAATGTGCCTAGACTTACAATATTACCTCAAGTTTATAAATGCATTCCTCTTCTAATGTTCCCAGAGTTTTGTTTTTGAGCAGAATATTTCATAAGATAGGTGGGGTATATCACTCTCATCTTCATTTTCAATTACTTGCTTGACCTTTACCAAGTTGAATCTGGTGAGGTTTTTACAAGGGTCAAAATCAAACCCAAAACCTTCAAGTCTATTATGATCAGGACATTTTAGAGACATCCATTGCATGTTTTGGTGAGGTCTTTTCAAGGGTCATCAGTTTGGAGAACTTCAAAATTTTTATCATCATGATGCTTTTATTCTGTCTAGAGATGCAGGAATTACCAATAGCATCTCGCTTGATTTTTCCCAACGGTTCAAGTGTTTTAATTCTGCTTCTTTATTTAAGTAAAAGATTCAGTGGCCTGTTGATTTTTTCTTTTCTTGTCATTCATTATTTTCATCTATAGACTTTTATTATTAATATTATCATTTGACCTTTTATTTAAAAAAGCAGAGAGAAAATGTTGAAAAAAGATATAATAAAAATCCTTATAAAATATACAAATAATAAATAAGTATCTCAAAATGTAATAATTACTTTCTAGTCCCTTGAGAGTTGAGAATTGATTGACATTTTGACTTTTGTGAGAAATGACATATTTATACACCATCCGAAATTAGAGTTGGTTATTCAGACCAACTTGAACCTACCTTAAAAAAGTTAAGACCAGACTTTTCTATACGGGCTTTTTTAAGAGGATATAATACTTTAAGTTCAATTTGAATAGACCCACTCTGGCCCACCCTGCTCAAATTACCGATGCTTCAAAACTCTCCTTCCCGAGTTTGTTCCTCTCACTGATTATTGATTGCCTTCTTCAATTCCTTGACCGAGTATTTTCTTGGGGCAGGCTAGCTCTTCAGAGTCCCAGTATCTGTTCAACGTCCAACGTTCTCCTTCTCTTCTTTTTGTACACACCAATACCCAAAACCACCAATCCCCGCAACAATCAAACTCATCAATGAAAGAACTTCCACTGTCACATTTCACCTCAGGACACAATTCAACTATTAGGCTGTTACGATGGAAGCAAAAAACGCAAAGTACGAGCATTTTTTCACGATGTTTCCGAGTCCATATTTGTCAACACTTAACAGTCGGTGCAAAGGTTAATAATTCACATTGCAGGATCTCTTGAGGCATGAAGTCAAGTTAGCATTAGCAGTAAACTACGGTGGCGTTCCACTTATACATGACCCCCAGAAACTCCAAAAAGATAAAATGTAGAAAGCAATGAAATTGTGAATGATCATCAGATTACAGTGTATTTGGCATCCTCTGGAGCAATTGAGCAAGAAAGTGAGATCATGGTTTTTAATGAGGGCAGATATGTCATTTCTCACAAAAATCGAAATGCCAAATAAGTTTCAAGAAACTAGAAAATAATATATTGTTTTGCAGAGATTGCATAGAGACCACATTGATCAAGCTTATATGTTTGAATAACTTCGTCAGCATGGGGTCTTCGAGTTGAAATTAAAGATCACATCTTTCTAGGAAAACAACCGGGTTGATAATAAAGATTGCCTGGGCTGAGAGGAGGAAAAAGATTTTTGTCTTGAAGTGATCGGTAATGGGTTAAGTGTCTCATTCATAATTGATAATTCTAAATTTTTTTCCATACTTGCAAGCATTGCAAGGTATATATTATATGATTTCAAGCATTAAAATGATAACGTATACACTAATGCCCCACTTTTTTTGTTTTTTCGTGCTTTGACTTTTCAATAAACATCATGTTGAGGTTTAGTCATTTCAAGACTTACAATTTACTTATAATTGTTATTGTAAAACACTTTTAATTATTTTACCAAAACTAAAGAGAAGTTATTAAATTATTAAGTTTGTTTGAAAATAAAATAAACATATAATCTTACTTATATTTAAATGAATTTTTTTTCAAAATTATTTTACACTCTCTCTTATAGTTAATGAGTTTAAATAGAGGTAATATTAAAATAAAGTAATTAATACCCCATCAATGCCTAATATTACAAACTGATTAAAGAATTCCTAAATGAATGATTTCCTTCTCAATCTATATGGTGTGAATGTGTTAATTTGGTCCTCTTGACATGTGGTATAGTTTATTATACTGTCAACCTGTCAAGCATCAGCTGCCATCTTACTTTATTTGAATAATTTTTTTATAAATGGTTGATCGAAAATTGTGGGGTTTAAATTAAAAAGCACGAATTCATTTGATGTGATTAGAAAATTTATTGTTTCTGGTGTTTGTGTCATTTAATTTTATTTTCAAATCAAATGGAAGAAGAGGACGAATAGAGAGTTGTTATCCAGTATGAAAGACAATGATTTCTTTAGCTCACCAAATACAAATCAAATATAACGGTAAATCCTGTCACAAATTTGAAAGAAATAAAGATAAGGAATAATGTAAATTGTGCACAGTGTTTATTCATTCAAAATTTGAAAATTTATATATACTAATAATAAGACCCTCACCTGATGGGATAAAGTTGCTTCTTATTGTTATTGTTATTATATTAATAATAAGATATCATAATATTTGCTAAATTAATTTTCAATAATTGAAATAAATGTGATTTGTGTACCTAAACATAATAGTAAATTACAATCGATTAAAATCATAATCGAAATCAGATCACATTTAATCATATTAATAATTTTCAATAAAACCAAAAAAAAAAAGAACAAGTATAAGTATAATATTAAAAAAAAAGTGAGATAAATTATGAGAATATAGCCCTGCTTTATTTTTCCTTCGTATTTGTCTGTACATGATCTTAACTCTGATCGATCCACCATTTCCGGCCATTCCGCGCAAATGAACACTTCAAGGTCAACATGCCCACCCATATCATGAGGTCTACAGAAATTCTGATCAACAGCCAAATCATATATATATATATATATATAATTGGTTTTAAAAAAAAAATAGCTCGTTTGCAAGGTGGTGCATTTATTTGTTATCATTCCAGGGAAATGATCGAGCAAATGAGATTAAATAAGGACTATGTACTGATCTTGAATCATAACTCTAAGCCTTCATTACTGTCAAGCCATGGCGGCGGCGCTGGTTGGAGAAGCGGTTATAGGCACTGTGTTTGGAGAATTTCTGGGTACGGTTTTGGAACTGAAGGACCATGCGACGGAGTTCAAATTGAAGAATGGAGGAACTGGAAAAAAAACACTTCGAGCAATATCTGACGTGATCATAAAAATTGAAGAATTGAACAAACAAGTGAACCGACCAGCGGACCAGAATGAAACACAAGACTTGAAACCACTGATAGAAGAGGGCAAAGACCTGGTTTGCAAGTGCCTTCATGTAAGAAAGTGGAACGTTCTCAAAAAGTCAAGTTACCACAAGAAGCTGGTGAAGCTGCATAACAAGATCTTGAGGTTCCATATTTTTCTTGTGCAAGCTCACACATTATTAGAGGTCAAGACTATCAATTTGAATATCAACAACCTCACCAGTTTTCTTCAACGCCGAATCATGCCTCCTCATATTTTGTCAGATCTCCCTAGTCCCCAAGTGGTTAGACCTAAATGTTCAGGACTCCGTGACGGTGATGATGTTGCAGGCATCCAGGTTCCCCTATTAGTCAAATCTCAAAGTTCTGAACTCCATGAAAGTGGTGTAGTCATTGAAGAAACGGTCATATCTCATTATTCTGAACTCCATGGAAGTGGTGTAGTCATCGAAGGTCCCTACTTCATCTCAGATGAAGCTGAATATGAACTTTCTGCTACCTGCTGCGTCGGTATATGTGAAGGTCTAATCAGTCTCAGTACTAATATCATTGTTGCATTTGAAAAATGTATGAGCCATATATGGATAGAGATAGACAATGCTGGGATGCTCAAAACCACAATTGAACAAGTAGAACATACTATGGAATCACTAGTTCCTGTTCTGCATGAGATAGAAGAATCAGATAAAGAACAAGTGGTAGATGGAGCAGATCAGAGTGAAACAGAAAGCATAAGGAGATTGATGGAAGAGGGTAAGGAGCTGGTTGGCGAGTGTTCCAACATGGGATGGTGGGACTTTCTTAAGAAGTGGCAGTACCAGGAAAAGCTGGCGGAGCTGGATAACAAGCTCTTGAGGTTCCATAGCATTTACCTGCAAGCTCGCATGGCAGCAACAAAGAATCATGCTACAACAGGTGATGGTGTAGAAATTAATGCATGTGAATGAGTCACAAAAAAGAAACAACCTTGGTAAATCCAAGCCAAGTGTTTCTGCAGTTGCTTGTCCTGTTATTTGATTTCAACTTTCATTCGGCTGTTATTTGAGTACTGTGTAGTCTTGTTGCTTGTGCTTAGTACTTACCTTTGGAAAAGAGTTGAATTTAAATTCAATTTTTTTCCATCATTTCTACACTTTCAGTCTAAAATTTGATTGGCTTTAGTTTGGCAGTGAATATTTACACTATGATTTTTTAGATAACTCTTTATTAGTAGCACTTACACCTTTAGTCAACAAAGCAACAAGACAACACAGTACTCAACAAACAAACTTTTATAGCCAAGTTTTTTATAAACATTCTAAGAAAAATGGGCAAATAAAATTTATTGACGGAAGGAATCCTCGGCCCAACAAGCCCCACACACACTAAATCTTTGCTTCGTGCGTAGTTCAAGCTCAAGTAAGCATTTTGGGCCAAAAAATTCTCAATATTGAAATCAGTTCCTTTCTTTTATTAACTGGGACCCAAGAATGCCCCAGAACCCAAAAACGAATCACACTACTGTAAAGTGTACACGATAGTAATCTTCATAGGTTTTATGACATATTAATATTAATATATATTGATATTATTAATATTAATAATTAATTATATTGATATTAATAGATTAATCTATGATTGTATACCGCATATTTACTTCTTCAATACAAATATTCGGATTGCAAATACTTATGGATTAGTTTGTCAGCCCTTTGGCACTGAGAAATTTACAACTGTAATAAGAAAATAGGCTCACTGACTTCATTAAAACATATCATATAAAAGGCCATAGACAAAAATGAAGCATATTGTACCGCTTCTCATAATCAGAGAAAATAACACCAAAACTAAAGGTGCCTCACATATCAGCATTATCAAAGCGCACGCGCTAAAAATTTAGCTCACAAACTAAAGCTGTTCTTCACAAAACATTTACACTTGCTCGTTGGCAAAGAAATAGAGCTCAGCAGATCAAAACTTGTACGGAGCTTTGTTCCTCCGATTTTTTGATGATCCAGGCTTTGAGACTCTGACATAAATAAACCTTCCATTGAAGAACTGTACCATAACATTCATGCTGCTGGGTTAGTCAACAGGAAACAATTCTTTTTTCCATATACAATATTCGAGATTTGCAATATCTATTATATTCTTATTATCATTATTTAAGAGTAAAGGTATAAGAGATATTTTTCATTCAAAAAATCATTTTTTATTAAGTTTCATTCTGTTCTCAGTGCCAAACGAGCTCTCTGTTAAGATAACTAGTACAGCTGATAAGTCAAGCAATTGCAAGAGATGCGAAGTACCTTTCCATTCATCTTTTCCACAGCCAATTGTGCAGACTCTTCCCTGGCAAACCAAATATGTGCGATGCCTAGGAACTGCCCAGATTCTTTATCCATGAGCAGCTTTACTGCAAAATATGATAATAACAGAGAATCTAAATTGAACACAGTTTTCAATATTGAACTCTATCACCCAGATATCAGAACAGCAATGGATTAAACTCTAGGCTATTTGGTATAGATTTAAAAAGGAAAAGGGGAAAAAAAAGTGATAATAGAAAATAACTCTTGTTCTCCTACTCTAAAACGAGATAGAAATTGTAGGGTAATGATTACATAGACATAATAGACATTGAGAGAGACAGGGGGGGGGGGAGAAGAATCCCTTTCCTTCCAGTAACCAAACGGCTGTTCTTAGGAACTTGAAGGTATGTAATGATTGACAAGAATATAGAATATAACGAAGGCGAAAGTTTAATTTAGGCATTTTCCTTTAAATCAAACATCCATTTCCCTTTCCTTCACCATTCTTCTCAATCCAGACATACCCCAAGTTTTCCGAACATCAAAGTTGAATATATGGAAAGCATTATATACGTTCAGCCAACATGACTTTAGAAGCAACCCTTCAATAGACGTTGCATCACAAAGTTTCCAGCCTATAAAGCATGCAAGCAAAAGATGTTATCACCTTGACTAATTTCACCAAACTCTGAGAATGCCTTAAACAAAAGTCCTTCAGAAGTTGACAGAGAAAGCCCTGCATTGGCCAACCCTCAAGACTTCAGTACTAAATGACTTATTGCTGCATACATTAAGATAAGGAAAACATCAATAAGACAAACTTTTCAGGAGTACCACCATCAATCAAGACGGTGACATGATATAAAGGAAGCATATGTGACAGTGTGAGCTTGGCCAGGTAGTTAAAGCTACTCATGACCTCTGTCTATCAACGGCTAAATAAAGGTCTTGGCTAGGAGGCATGACCTCTGTTTAACAATTATTAACAGAATTTCTTCTTTTCCTACACTCTGACTCTCTTTCCTTCTTTTTCTCTATTCTATCATATCAGACAGCTTAGCACATCATTAATTTCACAACAGACATCAAAGATCATTCTCACACATGTCACAGCCCACTAAAGTAGTAGAATTTCCAAATGCTATCATTTAGCTTTGAATTCTCAAGCAACAAAACAGTATTTCACCAACAAGTAAAAAACTGTCCCTTCAACCTTTCTAGGCAGAAACATGCACAACACTCACAAGCATTGCTTCAAGGAATCACTGGTAGGAAATCATTCTGATTTCTGAATGGCAATGAAAACGAAGAATCAGATTTCAATCCCTTTCCTTGCGTCTTCAATATTTGAGTATCAAAGTGTCGATTCTCCACTAAAAACTACTGGCGATTTACATTAAAATGAAAAAAGAATATAAACGAAGGATTACCTTTAATGAAGACTTTAGCTGAAGAAGTGGTAATGAATTCCGCAGAAGAATCGGAGCTGAAACTGCAGCTACAGCAACAGAACGAAAAGGGGTTGCGGCGAAGAGCAGGGGATGAGGCAGAAATTGATAGGGAAGGAAACATTGGGTACAGTGGGAGTTTAATGGGGAACAATCTGGGAAACACAACTTGTGAAATTTGCAAGAGTGCCATCTTTCTTTAGCCAACAGACACACAGAAATGGCACTCAAAAACACCAATTTCGCTCATAGCCTGGAATAGTAGCCAACCAAGTCTTTTTTCAGACTTTCACCGAAACCTTTCTTGACCGAGTCGTCCAGTTTCTTTTTTTTAATATTCTTTTTTTTTTCTTACAAGAATAAAAGCAAGGCTTAAAGACTTCATTCACGGTCCAGCGTGAGGCCCAACATGGGATGTATCATGTGTAAAAGCCCAGCTCAAACTTACTCATTATAAATATAATCTTTCTTTAACTGATATGTGATACTCTCTCCATTTCTATTTATAATAAAAATTATTATTTTTTATTTATTTTTTATATAAATAAAATAATTTATTTTAATAAGTATTTATTATACATTTTTTAAATATTTTTTACGATTTACATTAACGAGAAATAATAAATGCATGTATATGTTGATTAACATAAGGCATTTTAATTTAATATTTTATTTTCAAACATAATTATTATGGTTAATCAAATTTTAAACTATGTGATACAATTTTTTTCCTTATATATAAAAGTGAAGGGAATATTAATGAAGAAAGTGGTTTTTTTTTTTAGATTTTATGCAGATATCCTCTTGATACAAATAATTATGTTCAAAATGCAGTTGGGCACTACATATAAATACATTTCTTGGCAACAATGCAAATATTAATTTTTTATGTCATGAGGAACTAGCCTCTTACATTAGACCTAATTTTGATTAGTTAGATGAAAAAAGACTTAATGAAAAAAAGAAGTGCAAATAGAGTTCTTTTGTCTTTATCTTGATATATTTGACAAGCAATCAAAGGCTTGTTTGATTCTATTTTATGTTTTTATATTTTTCAAACAATCCTATATAATAGTTTTTTTAGAATAAGTTTTGGGGAGAATGAAAAAAAATATTTAAATTATTATTCTAAAAAACATATATAAAGTGATAAAATAAAGAGCGAAAGAATTACTTATTTTACTAACATAATTGTTATTAATGAAAACATGCATGTTATTTTTTATCTTTTCCATGTGCATAACAAAAAGTAGTAAAATATCAAAATGTAGTTCTATTTTTTTATTTTTTTAAAAAACAACTTTTAACCTTTTTTGTAACAAAAAACATGTTTTCAATTTTTTTTTCTCTTTTGAAAAAGGTAATCAAACAAGTCTTAATGCTTCCTTTCTACAAGAGAAACAGGCCTCCTTCAATTAACCTGAGCAAAAATGATTTGGTTTTTTAACAAAGAACAAAAACATATAGGAATTTTTGTGCATATAACCCGTTTAATAGGACCAGATAAAAATGATAGTCTAACATTTCAAATATTTTGCAATGTGATCGAATTAATATTTAAGTTAAATTTAAAATGATAAAAAATCCTTTCTCCTTAAATTTGAAATCTCATTATCATTCTCAAATTTAAAATAAATTACGCCTACTAAGCTAACAATAAAATATTTAAAAGTGTTTAAATATTAAAATGATATATATGGTTATAAATGAGCCATGATTATAATTATTCAGTTACAAGAATTATGCTATTATGTTATACAAGTTTTTTTTTTTCACTTTGTTTTGGGAATAAAAAGGGAATATTTCATCTCAATAGATTGTAAATGGGTTACATTCTAGAATTTTTTAAAAAAATTCATAATTTCTAGTTAATATATTTTTCACGGTCATTGGACCAATTTGTTAAAAAAATGTATTGCTAAAGTTATCTTGAATTACAATTTTTTTTATCGTTTTGCCCATTCTTAATCTAAGATATATTATTTTAAAAAAAAATTTAGAGATGAAATTGCAATGATAAATATTTTAGGATATTGGAAAGAATAGTTTATAGGTAAAAATGTAGCTTAACTCTTTTCTTAATACTCCATCATATTTAGCTTAAGCAAAATCATTTTTAAATATTAAACAAATAGGACATTTAATCAAATAATATTTATATACTAGAAATGAAAAATAAAGCCATTAATAAAGGTTAGACTGACTTTATTATAAGTTAAACCTTTAAAGGCACAAGCCCATAAATCTTCTCATCCAAAAATCATTGTTTTTCTCAAACCTAACCCTTATTGACATAACTCAAGTTAGGACAATACCCAAAAAATTTTTTTTTTTTTTTGCTTTTGTTGAAAATCTAAATTTCCAATTCTACTAATACGTATATAAATTGAATGTACCTTCATTAAACATCAAAAAACAATAATAGGCTCCAAAGTATAATTTAAATAATGCAAACCCCATAATATACTATAAACCATGCAAGTCCAAGCAAATGCAAATCCGAAGGCAGTTTTGGATTGTATGCTATAGGCATTACATGTACACCGCATATCAAGACCCTCTTGTTTATCATCTAAAATATAAATATTCACTTACAGGGCGTATTTAAAATAAAATTGCTTTTAATAAGAGAATAGCTATAAATAGTAAAAAATAAAAATATTCAAAAATAAAAAAATTAAAATGATTTAGGAAAAATACTCAAATGATATGCTATAAAAATATTTCAAAGCATGACAAAGCATTCATATATACCCAGATATGGGAAAATGACAGATTTTAGAGCGAGAGACAAGCAAAGCAATGCTGTATGTTTAGACCCTTTCAACTTAAAAAAGATATTATATGGGTTAGTTCGAACTCGGGCCCTTGTTACTGGATCACAAGAGCAAGGATTAAAAAATGCTTTTCAACAGAATTAATCCTTCACTCTTACAAGTGTGACCTTCAAAAAAATACAATTTCTAAAATGATAGCCAACTAGGGCTTCTAATAAGAAATGTGTTGGGGATAAAAAAAATCTATTTGCAACTTATTTTGTAAGCTAATCCATTAGCTTCCAAATAAGTCAACAATTTTTCCAACACACCCCCTCATATTTAGCTTAAGGTTTTCTTAATACCCTCAACAAATTTAATATTGAACATATGGGCCTTTAATCTAATAATACTAGATACTCAATAGTTTTCATTTGTCAACCAAAAAAAAAATCCTATTTCTCATATGGTATATATAAATTGAGTTGAACTGTATATCGTTAACTCATCCACTTAATTTTCATCCCTTAAAAAAATTTACAAGATCATCTCGTGGATATACAAAAGGAATGAGACTAGATAAAGAAAAATTAATTAAAGTTAGGAAAATAATAATTAATGCAGAAAGAGACATTGTTGACGTGATTTATAGCAGTCCCTATGACTTCTCCAAAATGGATATGAGTATCTATCTATGCATGATTTTAAAAATCATCAATGGTCATACATCATGGAGAGTCACCAAGCACACGCATGCTTATACAACATAGGATACCACAGGCTTGAATTTCTCCGAAAGGGGAACAGGTTTGTGCTTGAAGAGACAGAAATTAAAATTATAAAAAATGGAAAATAAATAAATAAATAAATAAGGCCTGCTAATTGTGACTAGCTAGTAATTAAGGCATGCATGTAGTCACGAACACAATTAATTACCGGTTAATCATATGTCGCAAATTAAGCCATGCGTGCAGGCCAAAGCTAAGTTAATGGATTTTTTTTATTCTCAAGGATTATATGAGGATTTAATAAATATCAAACACACACACTCACACACAATGCACAACATATATGGCTTTGAGGATAATCGAAAGACATGTTAAGATTTTGTTGGACTTCTGGAGAGATACTTTAGAGCTTTTCAAAGTCGAGTCCTTTTTTTCTTTTTTTTTCTTTTTTTTTACACATACTCCCTTCATCTTTAATTATAAGATATTTTTTGATAAAATCTCACATATCAATAAAGTTTATTAAATACACTTAACAATTTTATTTTTTTAAAATAAAAATGTAAACTTTTAAAAATACTCTTTATTTAAGAACATTAAATCCGCACCTAATTAATATTAAATAGAGAGAGAAAGTATTAAAATGAGCTTATTTAATGAAACCTTAATCTTCTTGAAGTATCTTATATTTTGGGACGGCAAATCTCCTCCAAAAATATCTTATAATTTAAAACGGAGTATAAATTTAAGGATATTAAATGAAGAATATTTTTAAAATTTTATTTTTTATTTAAAAAAAAGAGACTGTTAAGTATATTTAATAAAATTTATTGATATGTGAGATTTTATATATAAGTATTGTATAATTTGGGGAAAAAATATTAAACAATAGATATGTAAAGATTATTTTGTATTATTATTTATTATATTTGCAAAGAAAAATCAGTTATCATCTCAATCATTTGAGTCAGTAATTTATTCTAGCTAAATGCCGTTCAAAACATTTTTTTATTACATCATAGGAGTTTCAACTCTATTAGTTAATGATACTTCGTATGCTAATGTCAGAAAGCGATAGATGGTTTGTATCAAAAAAAAAAAAAAAAACAAACGATAGATGGTTTCCTTAATAACAGACAGGTCCCAATAGCCTTAATTGTAGAATGGGAAACCTAATAGATCTTTATCCCAAAAAAAAAAAGAAAAAAAAAACACGAATAGATGAAGGTCATGTTTGGTTTGGCGTTGAAGTGTCCCAAACGAGAGTTCACATGCTTCGATCCAAAAGCTGGTTGAAGTTTTTTTTTTTTTTTGGCATGTTTGGATGACTTTAACTCGCCGCATGGAATGAGTAGAGAAAATATGAAGATGGAAAAATTATGGGAAAAAAAAAATAAAGCTTTTCCTTTAATTTTTCTCCTCTTTATCAGAGAAAAAGACGGGCAAAAAATATTTTTCCCTGTAGTTTTTTTTCCCTAATTTTCTTCCCTCCCTACTTTCTACACTCTCCAAACAAAACCTTAGCTTAAATGACTATTGCCTTCCCAGCCTAGGTTATTTTTTTGAAATAAGCTTGCTCAATCAGATAAAAGGGAAAGGATGACAGATAAGGACCCTCAAAATATGTATATGACAAATAAAGAACACGAAGCATAATACCTCTAAAGTTCCTATAACTTTTTTGACACGTTTTTTGTTGGCAAATAAACATGTTGCCCATTGTTTAAGAAAACAAAAATATTCCATCAGCCAGCTACTGCCTGCCGGATAGCTCCAGTGACCGGAAAATTAT